GTGTGAGTAATACCTGGTGAGGGTTACCTGCTGTGTGAGTAATACCTGGTGAGGGTTACCTGCTGTGTGAGTAATACCTGGTGAGGGTTACCTGCTGTGAGTAATACCTGGTGAGGGTTACCTGCTGTGTAAGTAATACCTGGTGAGGGTTACCTGCTGTGTGAGTAATACCTGGTGAGGGTTACCTGCTGTGTGAGTAATACCTGGTGAGGGTTACCTGCTGTGTGTAATACCTGGTGAGGGTTACCTGCTGTGTAATACCTGGTGAGGGTTACCTGCTGTGTAAGTAATACCTGGTGAGGGTTACCTGCTGTGTGAGTAATACCTGGTGAGGGTTACCTGCTGTGTGAGTAATACCTGGTGAGGGTTACCTGCTGTGTGAGTAATACCTGGTGAGGGTTACCTGCTGTGAGTAATACCTGGTGAGGGTTACCTGCTGTGTGAGTAATACCTGGTGAGGGTTACCTGCTGTGTGAGTAATACCTGGTGAGGGTTACCTGCTGTGTGAGTAATACCTGGTGAGGGTTACCTGCTGTGTGAGTAATACCTGGTGAGGGTTACCTGCTGTGTGAGTAATACCTGGTGAGGGTTACCTGCTGTGTGAGTAATACCTGGTGAGGGTTACCTGCTGTGTGAGTAATACCTGGTGAGGGTTACCTGCTGTGTGAGTAATACCTGGTGAGGGTTACCTGCTGTGTGAGTAATACCTGGTGAGGGTTACCTGCTGTGTGAGTAATACCTGGTGAGGGTTACCTGCTGTGTGAGTAATACCTGGTGAGGGTTACCTGCTGTGTGAGTAATACCTGGTGAGGGTTACCTGCTGTGTGAGTAATACCTGGTGAGGGTTACCTGCTGTGTGAGTAATACCTGGTGAGGGTTACCTGCTGTGTGAGTAATACCTGGTGAGGGTTACCTGCTGTGTGAGTAATACCTGGTGAGGGTTACCTGCTGTGTGAGTAATACCTGGTGAGGGTTACCTGCTGTGTGAGTAATACCTGGTGAGGGTTACCTGCTGTGTGAGTAATACCTGGTGAGGGTTACCTGCTGTGTGAGTAATACCTGGTGAGGGTTACCTGCTGTGTGAGTAATACCTGGTGAGGGTTACCTGCTGTGTGAGTAATACCTGGTGAGGGTTACCTGCTGTGTGAGTAATACCTGGTGAGGGTTACCTGCTGTGTGAGTAATACCTGGTGAGGGTTACCTGCTGTGTGAGTAATACCTGGTGAGGGTTACCTGCTGTGTGAGTAATACCTGGTGAGGGTTACCTGCTGTGTGAGTAATACCTGGTGAGGGTTACCTGCTGTGTGAGTAATACCTGGTGAGGGTTACCTGCTGTGTGAGTAATACCTGGTGAGGGTTACCTGCTGTGTGAGTAATACCTGGTGAGGGTTACCTGCTGTGTGAGTAATACCTGGTGAGGGTTACCTGCTGTGTGAGTAATACCTGGTGAGGGTTACCTGCTGTGTGAGTAATACCTGGTGAGGGTTACCTGCTGTGTGAGTAATACCTGGTGAGGGTTACCTGCTGTGTGAGTAATACCTGGTGAGGGTTACCTGCTGTGTGAGTAATACCTGGTGAGGGTTACCTGCTGTGTGAGTAATACCTGGTGAGGGTTACCTGCTGTGTGAGTAATACCTGGTGAGGGTTACCTGCTGTGTGAGTAATACCTGGTGAGGGTTACCTGCTGTGTGAGTAATACCTGGTGAGGGTTACCTGCTGTGTGAGTAATACCTGGTGAGGGTTACCTGCTGTGTGAGTAATACCTGGTGAGGGTTACCTGCTGTGTGAGTAATACCTGGTGAGGGTTACCTGCTGTGTGAGTAATACCTGGTGAGGGTTACCTGCTGTGTGAGTAATACCTGGTGAGGGTTACCTGCTGTGTGTGTAATACCTGGTGAGGGTTACCTGCTGTGTGAGTAATACCTGGTGAGGGTTACCTGCTGTGTGAGTAATACCTGGTGAGGGTTACCTGCTGTGTGAGTAATACCTGGTGAGGGTTACCTGCTGTGTGAGTAATACCTGGTGAGGGTTACCTGCTGTGTGAGTAATACCTGGTGAGGGTTACCTGCTGTGTGAGTAATACCTGGTGAGGGTTACCTGCTGTGTGAGTAATACCTGGTGAGGGTTACCTGCTGTGTGAGTAATACCTGGTGAGGGTTACCTGCTGTGTGAGTAATACCTGGTGAGGGTTACCTGCTGTGTGAGTAATACCTGGTGAGGGTTACCTGCTGTGTGAGTAATACCTGGTGAGGGTTACCTGCTGTGTAAGTAATACCTGGTGAGGGTTACCTGCTGTGTGAGTAATACCTGGTGAGGGTTACCTGCTGTGTGAGTAATACCTGGTGAGGGTTACCTGCTGTGTGAGTAATACCTGGTGAGGGTTACCTGCTGTGTGAGTAATACCTGGTGAGGGTTACCTGCTGTGTGAGTAATACCTGGTGAGGGTTACCTGCTGTGTGAGTAATACCTGGTGAGGGTTACCTGCTGTGTGAGTAATACCTGGTGAGGGTTACCTGCTGTGTGAGTAATACCTGGTGAGGGTTACCTGCTGTGTGAGTAATACCTGGTGAGGGTTACCTGCTGTGTGAGTAATACCTGGTGAGGGTTACCTGCTGTGTGAGTAATACCTGGTGAGGGTTACCTGCTGTGTGAGTAATACCTGGTGAGGGTTACCTGCTGTGTGAGTAATACCTGGTGAGGGTTACCTGCTGTGTGAGTAATACCTGGTGAGGGTTACCTGCTGTGTGAGTAATACCTGGTGAGGGTTACCTGCTGTGTGAGTAATACCTGGTGAGGGTTACCTGCTGTGTGAGTAATACCTGGTGAGGGTTACCTGCTGTGTGAGTAATACCTGGTGAGGGTTACCTGCTGTGTAAGTAATACCTGGTGAGGGTTACCTGCTGTGTAGTAATACCTGGTGAGGGTTACCTGCTGTGTGAGTAATACCTGGTGAGGGTTACCTGCTGTGTGAGTAATACCTGGTGAGGGTTACCTGCTGTGTGAGTAATACCTGGTGAGGGTTACCTGCTGTGTGAGTAATACCTGGTGAGGGTTACCTGCTGTGTGAGTAATACCTGGTGAGGGTTACCTGCTGTGTGTAATACCTGGTGAGGGTTACCTGCTGTGTGAGTAATACCTGGTGAGGGTTACCTGCTGTGTGAGTAATACCTGGTGAGGGTTACCTGCTGTGTGAGTAATACCTGGTGAGGGTTACCTGCTGTGTGAGTAATACCTGGTGAGGGTTACCTGCTGTGTGAGTAATACCTGGTGAGGGTTACCTGCTGTGTGAGTAATACCTGGTGAGGGTTACCTGCTGTGTGAGTAATACCTGGTGAGGGTTACCTGCTGTGTGAGTAATACCTGGTGAGGGTTACCTGCTGTGTGAGTAATACCTGGTGAGGGTTACCTGCTGTGTGAGTAATACCTGGTGAGGGTTACCTGCTGTGTGAGTAATACCTGGTGAGGGTTACCTGCTGTGTGAGTAATACCTGGTGAGGGTTACCTGCTGTGTGAGTAATACCTGGTGAGGGTTACCTGCTGTGTGAGTAATACCTGGTGAGGGTTACCTGCTGTGTGAGTAATACCTGGTGAGGGTTACCTGCTGTGTGAGTAATACCTGGTGAGGGTTACCTGCTGTGTGAGTAATACCTGGTGAGGGTTACCTGCTGTGTGAGTAATACCTGGTGAGGGTTACCTGCTGTGTGAGTAATACCTGGTGAGGGTTACCTGCTGTGTGAGTAATACCTGGTGAGGGTTACCTGCTGTGTGAGTAATACCTGGTGAGGGTTACCTGCTGTGTGAGTAATACCTGGTGAGGGTTACCTGCTGTGTGAGTAATACCTGGTGAGGGTTACCTGCTGTGTGAGTAATACCTGGTGAGGGTTACCTGCTGTGTGTAATACCTGGTGAGGGTTACCTGCTGTGTAAGTAATACCTGGTGAGGGTTACCTGCTGTGTGAGTAATACCTGGTGAGGGTTACCTGCTGTGTGAGTAATACCTGGTGAGGGTTACCTGCTGTGTGAGTAATACCTGGTGAGGGTTACCTGCTGTGTGAGTAATACCTGGTGAGGGTTACCTGCTGTGTGAGTAATACCTGGTGAGGGTTACCTGCTGTGTGAGTAATACCTGGTGAGGGTTACCTGCTGTGTGAGTAATACCTGGTGAGGGTTACCTGCTGTGTGAGTAATACCTGGTGAGGGTTACCTGCTGTGTGAGTAATACCTGGTGAGGGTTACCTGCTGTGTGAGTAATACCTGGTGAGGGTTACCTGCTGTGTGAGTAATACCTGGTGAGGGTTACCTGCTGTGTGAGTAATACCTGGTGAGGGTTACCTGCTGTGTGAGTAATACCTGGTGAGGGTTACCTGCTGTGTAATACCTGGTGAGGGTTACCTGCTGTGTGAGTAATACCTGGTGAGGGTTACCTGCTGTGTGAGTAATACCTGGTGAGGGTTACCTGCTGTGTGAGTAATACCTGGTGAGGGTTACCTGCTGTGTGAGTAATACCTGGTGAGGGTTACCTGCTGTGTGAGTAATACCTGGTGAGGGTTACCTGCTGTGTGAGTAATACCTGGTGAGGGTTACCTGCTGTGTGAGTAATACCTGGTGAGGGTTACCTGCTGTGTAAGTAATACCTGGTGAGGGTTACCTGCTGTGTGAGTAATACCTGGTGAGGGTTACCTGCTGTGTGAGTAATACCTGGTGAGGGTTACCTGCTGTGTGAGTAATACCTGGTGAGGGTTACCTGCTGTGTGAGTAATACCTGGTGAGGGTTACCTGCTGTGTGAGTAATACCTGGTGAGGGTTACCTGCTGTGTGAGTAATACCTGGTGAGGGTTACCTGCTGTGTGAGTAATACCTGGTGAGGGTTACCTGCTGTGTGAGTAATACCTGGTGAGGGTTACCTGCTGTGTGAGTAATACCTGGTGAGGGTTACCTGCTGTGTAAGTAATACCTGGTGAGGGTTACCTGCTGTGTGAGTAATACCTGGTGAGGGTTACCTGCTGTGTGATGAGCTCCCGGATCTTGTTCTGGAGAACAGTACACTCAGTCTGGTCCGCAGGGTTGTTCAGGGAACAGGGAAACACGCTCTGTACTTGTAGTGTCAACTTGTTCGGGTCCCATTTACCACCTAGATACCTGCACAAATAACCATTTATATTGCAATCAATTACACGTCATACTATTACAAAGATGTTTAGATTGTATAAACTATATAAGTCGTAGAACCCCCCCCCCCCCCAGTATAAGTATACTATCCTCACCCCGGCCCCCCCTCTAACCCCCCCCCCCCCATCAAGTAATAATATTATCCTCACCCTCCCCCGCCCCCCCTCTAACCCCCCCCCCCCCCCGGCCCCCCCCCCCGTATCAAGTAATAATATTATCCTCACCCTCCCCCGCCCCCCCCTCTAACCCCCCCCCCCCCCCCCCCCCCTCCGTATCAAGTAATAATATTATCCTCACCCGTACACCTCGTCAGTACTCAGATGACAGTGATAATCCATGAGAAGAAGAGAGTTACTCCCTATAAAGACAGTGTACGGTTGTTTCTGTCCCACCACACTGAACTTTACACAGTCTATAAGTGAGGACTCTGCTGGGACTGCATCTTGACGCGCTTCTTTCATTATCTCACGCTCTTTCGTCTACAGATAGCAGATTTAGTATTTAACAAAGGTAAATTTCAGGAAATAAAGTGCTGAGTCCTTGATACCAATGACTATCAGTAATCAGTATGGTACGTTACTTAACACAGCATCAAGAAATCAGTTTGTTAAATCAGTTTTAATATTTTCTAAACATTACCAACTCTACCCCCCCCCCCCCCCCCCCAGCTAAACATTACCAACTCTACCCCCCCCCCCCCCCCCCCAATATAAAACTTACCCGGGCTGCTTTAGCCTGTTCCTCAGCTAGCTGCGCTATAGCTAGCTGTATCATATTAGCTTGCTGGAAGAGAGCCTGCTCTAATATCATCTGTGTCATTTTATCATTACTACCTGAAGCATTGTGCTCCTGAATAGCCTTTTCCAGGGCAGCCTGGTTCAGCAGCGCGTTTTGTATCATACTGTGCTCTAGGAGGGATTTCTGCAGGAGAGCTGGGTCGATGTGCTGCTGGGCTGATGCCTTCTCTTTAGAGGAGGCTCGCTGCTCCTTCTGCTTAGCCCTCTTCTCCTTCTCCTCCTTCTCTTTATGCGCTGCTAATATCTCCTGCTGTATTTTGTGCAGAGCCTCTTGTTGAAGCTGCGCCTGGATGATAGCTTCTTGCTGCGCTTGCAGCAGCGCTTCCTCTCTCTGTTTTTGTTCGAGTGCTGATTTGCTCTGTTTCTGGAGCAGTGCTGCTGCCTCGCTGTGCTGCTTCAACATCTCTGCTTCTGCCAGCCTGTTTGCTAATGCTGCCTCCACTGCCATCTGCTCCTTCAGCGCCTTCTCCAGCACTAGCTTCTCCATGTCTGATAGTTTAGTGGCTCCCTCGCCTAGTAACATGTGCGCTAGACTTGCTATATCCACCTGGTGATTGTTCATGTTGGCTGCTTGTTCCATCATTGCTTGCTCTGTTTCGGTTAACTGGCCTTGTTGTTCGGAGGAGGGTGTTGTCATGTTGTCACGTGTCATGTTGTCACGTGTCATGTTGTCACGTGTCATGTTGTCACGTGTCATGTTGTCACGTGTCATGTTGTTGAGTGCTGAGGTAGATGGTTGTTCAGGTTGTTCAAGGTTAGCAGGTGGGGTTGTGGTGGCAGGTGTGGAGGAGATAGGAGTGGTGGCAGGTTGGGGTATTTGACCGGAGGAGGATGTTGTCATGACAGGCTCTGAAACCAGACTTTCAGCTGCCGAGCTGCACGCTTCTGATTCTCCCTGTAAAGAGTAATATTTACAAAGGAGTAATAACAGAGATCGTGGCTGATATAATACCAAAATCTATCCTCACGTGACTACTACTACCTTATATGAGCATCACGTGACTACTTCTTTAATCAAACCTGAGACTGAGACGCGTTATCATCTTCACTATCATTCTCGTTAAAATCATCGTCCTGAAACTGTTAGGAAGTGTTAATAATAGACAATCAGATCACTGGATTCAGATCACGTGAAATAAAACATTTAAATGATAACAAAGAACCACGCAAACCTGTTGAATGACAGAAGAGCCATCAGCTCTAGCTGCTTGCATCTGTAACCACTGGTTCTTGTACCACTCCAGCTTTCTCCCTTCATACTTAACTGTGGTCCAGCCACATGCGCTCTTCTTGTCCGGGTTAACTATACGCTTGCAGTGTGAAGCCCACGCGCTCGGAGTGGCAAAGACCAGGTTGTTGTCTTTCCACTTAACCGATCCGTCCTCCAGCAGGTCTCCTTCAAATACATTCCCAAAATACTCCATCTTTAGTACACCCGTACCTGGGGATATATTAAGTAAGGAGGGGGGAAGGGGCCGGAGGGGGGGGGGGGCCGCGGGGGGGGGGGGGGGGGCCGGGGGGGAAGGGGAGATCTGGCGTGATACTTACAATCATAATACTTGATAACAGAAAATGTAGATGGAAATTAAAGTACCTGGGTAGAGCAAGCCATCGTTGATCAAGTAAGATAAGTGAAGACTTCTTCCCCCCAGTTTCTTATCTGCCTTGTTAGTGTTTCCGCCTCTTCCTCTTCCCCTCCCTCGCACTGAGGAGCTGCCTCGCAGCGCTTGCTTCTCTAGTGTCTTCCTTAATAGGTCATCCATATCCATCCTTACAGCTCTACTTCTACTAGATAATTAGTGTTATATTTACAAATACAGATAACAGAGCATGATCAACTCAGTACTATCTTAATGAATTTTCAATTCTAAATTGAATTTATGGTTCGTTATTGTAACCTGAAGTTGTAGAGGTACCTAAAAAAATTAAAAACTATTTCGAGGAGGCAATTAAAATATATAAAATGCGATAACACTTTAGCAAAACGATGCTTCATCATTAATACAAATTCGTCCAGAAAAAAGCTTCAAAAGTAAACAACACTTTTTTACAATCTATTCCTAGAGAAATCTTCGTAAAGTATAAGTGACTCGGGTGAAGTTTGAGGAGAAATGTCATTAATAGCAGTCTGGAGTATTTGCGGGGTGACGACACCCGCTGTAATAGACTCAATAGCAGCATTATGGCACACAGCAACCACCTCCGCTCCAGATAACCCCTCTGTTATTCTAGCACATTCCTCAAAGCAGAGCCCTTCGTGAGGAATTCTCTTGAATTTGAGCTTGAATATCTCCTCTCTACACTGCAAGTCAGGCAGAGGAATGTAAACTAACTTCTCCAGACGACCTGGTCTCAGAAGAGCCTTGTCAATGCGATCAGGACGGTTTGTAGCAGAGATAACAACAACTCCCGTCAGACCCTCCACTCCGTCCAGTTCCGTGAGAAGCTGGGCTAGAACCCGGTCGTTCACCCCACTCCCCCTGTCAGCCCCACGGTGGCTTGCCAGCGCGTCTATTTCATCAAAGAATATAATAGCAGGTGCTGCTGACCGAGCCCTGGAGAAGAGATCTCTTATAGCTCTCTCACTTTCCCCCACGTACATTGATAACAGTTCAGGTCCCTTTACAGACAGGAAGTTCAAGTTGGATTCAGTGGCGAGGGCTTTAGCCATCATAGTTTTACAGCAGCCGGGAGGTCCGTATAGGAGGACACCTCTAGGTGCAGTTATCCCCATCTCCCTGTACTTGTGCTGGTGTATTATTGGCCAGCTTATTACCCTGGTAAGCAGCTCCTGCACGTTCTGCAACCCTCCGATATCAGTCCACCTCACCTCCGGTACTTCTATCTTTATATCGTTCATTGAGCGGGGCGGTATCTTAGTAAGGGCAGTGAGGAGGTGAGAGATGTTGAGTTTATCTTTTCCAGCTAGCAGCAGTGCTTGTCTGCACACATTGCAGATATCAGCTCCAACGTAACCATTAGCTCTAAAAGACACTGATTTAATGTCTTCTGACGAAAGTTCGCTTTCTATTTCGGTAAGGAAATTCTCGAATATTTCAGTCCTTATCTCTGATGTAACAGCTGGCATTTGAAGTTGTAAAGGGAAGAACTTGTGAAGAGCTGGTGGTAAGTGAGTTGCAGTGGCTAACACAAACGCACTTCGGGGTAAAGACTTTAAGAAGTTTGAAACACGGTCTATTTTCCCGGTGGGATCATCTCCAATAGAATCCAACCCATCAAGAAGAACAACCTTCACATTATCATCACAAGGGATGGGCTTTACAAACTCCTGGACACAACAACTTGGCCACTGTTCGTTTGACAACATTATGGTTTGACACAGTAACGTTTTACCAGAGCCAGAGGGCCCAGTGATAAGTAATGTTTGCGGAGGGCCCATAGATCCGAAAACACTGGGACTCTGCAATGTCTGTTCCAAAATATCCTGAATGTCGCTACCGATGCTCTCTACCCCGATTATTTTAGGTAACGTTACAGGGAGTTGCTTGTCCACAAACTTGGACGTTGGAAGAATTTGGTAGTAAACATCTGATATTGAGGCTTCAGATAACTGAGCAGCTAAAGAGGGAACCCCATTTGAATCAGTGGAATTACTAGCCTGTCCAGAAATAGGTATAACAGAATCTATAATAATGCTGATTTTTTTGCTGAAATAAGGAACAGAAATCTTCTGTCCTTGAAATACCACTTTATTCTGTAAAACGAACGGTAGGTAGCTCTGATCGATATCCCCCTCGACAGAGACAGTAACTTCTGCAGCTGATTTGAAAGATTCAATGGGAATAAGAGTGACTAGTCCCCTTTGTTGGCAGGAAAAGCCCACATGGTCGAGAAGGAGTGAGGTATCAGGCCAGCACTCCATCACATCTGCTGCTATCCTAGCAAAGCAGCCTATTTTTATACCTATCTCCTTCATAGTGTCGGGGTGTAAGTGACAATATGCAGTGTCTTTGTAAACAGGAGTCAGTCTTACCAACCCCTCACCAATACAGGGTCCAACAGTGTCACACTCATGGTGTGACATGGTCTTCAGTTCACAACTGCTGCACTTTACCCAGGTCTGCTTGTGTTTGGGACCAGCTCCCCGGGTAGGTGTACGTCTGGAGGGTGTACCTTTAGGACTTTGCTGCACCATCTGGATATATCCTAAAATATTATAATACATTAGAAGAGTGGTGGTTAATCCTAATCCCTTGTTGTGTGCCACACAATACACACATTAGAATTAGAAACGTATTTATACATAATAGATACAGGGTGAGGGTACAATCGTCTTTTATCTATTTTCAAACTTTATTCCTTAGTCTACATATAAAATGGTATGAAATGTAATTGGTTGTTTTCAATTGAGTTGTTAGAACAAGGTATACGACATAGTCTGTATTCCGTAGTTAGTCAGGGTATCACAGTGCACATTTGTACAAGAAAATCAGAGCAAATAAAACTGACACTATTCAAACTATTTAAGCTCAAATAGTTCCTAAGCTGATTACTGAGACCAGCTAAATTATATATATCCTGCATAACATGATATACGACGAGGGTAATGATCCACCTTGTACATATAATAGACATAAAATAACTAGTATTTATGAAGGAGCAGTATAGCACTGTGCTGGCAGTAATTAATCCCCCCCCCCCCCCCCCTGTGACATAATATATACTATATATTTCAGTAAATAATTTTTCCACAAATTGTAATGTTAGAATAAAGTAATCTTGAGTCTGGATATTAGGATTAAATGAGATCACTGTCGTAACGTCCCCCCCCCCCACCCCCCTGTAACATAATATACTATATATTGTGCGTGCTCATCCTTTTCATTTTCTGAGCTGTTGCAGGAAATGTGATTGTTATTAAATGATCAAAAATCTCTAGAATCAATTAATCAATTAGGAAAATATCAAAAACTCATAAAGTGGTATGATGTTTAAATTGTAAAATAAGACGTCTCCTCAACAGCTCATTGAGTAAACACATTAGAAAGGACACTTTTAGGGATGTTACCACTTCTAACACTAGACTGAGCGATTCTTCTTTGTTTTGGTTCTCTAGAAGAAACAACATTGTCACTTGATTTAACTGCTGTCCCTTTCTCTTCCCTTTTACGTTTAATTGCGGTTATTTGCTTGTTCTTATCCACTTGCTCTAAAAAGAAGTTTGTTTCCTTTTTCACTTGAGTCATTTCTTGCTGCAATCTTTTTTTACGGACTGCTGAATTGTACGCAAGTTTTTCTGTAAGATTGGACCATTTAAAGCGGGGCAGGTACTTCATTGACCATATGTCGTCGTGGTAGTAGCTCCCTTTCTTACCACCGATTATGTTTCCATTCAAAGATTGTACAACAGCTTTCGCAATTCTTTTCTTTTTGAATTCCACCCACCCCTCCGTAAACTTTTTCTTTCCTGAAAATAAACTTGCTGAATTTCAAGAGTCCAAAAAGGAGATGAAAACTATTTTAATGAATATCAAACGATTGGGTAGTAGTTTTCCATTGAATCTGAAGTAAACCTTTCCTTGTAATGAAATATTATGTCTTGAAAAGTAAAATAGTATAGTACTAGTGTAACCTGAGCAATTAAAATCTAAATAATAACACCCCAGATAATTAGGGACTAGTAGGGTGTCCCTACAGATTAGGCTTACCTGAACCACCACCCACTTTTCTCCTTTTCCGTATTTCAGTGTCCTCAGGCTGCAAGAATATCTTGCCTACCTCGCCATACTGTGACATGATATTTCTAACTTTGTTTGGTTTCATATAAGGAGGAATAGAGCTGAAGTAGATTATTCCAGGTTTTGAGCCTGATTTCTTTGAGGGCAGTTCCTTTTTCCCTAAGTCTAACTCATCTTCTTCCTTTTCCCCTAAGTCTAACTCCTCTTCTTCTTTCATTGAAATTTCCATAGATAAACTGTGACAATAATTTGAAAATCAAAATCAATCCATGTGCTATTATTGTGTGTATCAATACATTATTATCAATATACATTCACTATAATTTATTATATCTCATATGGATCCAAAAACTTGATGAAATGAACACGAAAATAAAAACAGCTTTATTTGATCTAGATCTTTCCCAACCAGCTAGGCTGTGACATCTAATTATGATGTACAATCCTCAGTACATTTGTTTACAAATTGGAATCAATTTTAACTGAGCTTCACTGGCTAAAAACAATAAATCTGAAAGTTGAAAAATAATTTTAGTGAAACATTTAATTTCAACAAATTTTTTTTTTATATACAGACAAAACTATTCTGGTGCAATGAAAAAGTGTAAAAACATGCCAATAACTGCACTAAATGCGATTGCTTTCATATTTTTCACAAAAATAAATGAAAATAATCTACATTTTAATACCCTTTCAAATCGGAAAATATTATCTTCTGTTGTGACTATAATTGGATCTAACATAAGTGGGATTGAACTGACTATTATACTTCTGTTTCATCACTGGCTTAACTAAATCATTGTCATGAGTTTCAACTGATTTTGAATAATTAGGGTTTAACAGTTTTTCAGCAGTAATATGCTCTGCCTGCTCGCGTTTAAGCCTTTCTTCACGAAGCTGTGAGATTGATTTTGATTTACCCTTATCAGAGCTGGAGGAGGAATGTCTCTTTTTCTTTTTAGCTTTCTTTTTATTGGCTTTCTTTTTATTAACATTAGAACTCTCTTTAGAAACAAGCTTTCCATGTTTTTTACGTTCATTAGAAAACTCAACAACTTTATCATGAAAATCAATGTCAACAAAAACTGTTTCTGGCTCTGCTGGAATGGGTGTTGCATAATCGACACCCTTTCTCCTTTTGTTCATTTCATTAAGGGGATCCATTAAATCAATGGGGTCATACCGTTGCTTTCTTTTTTGTAAATGTTTAAGTTCGTCTGGATTTTTCTGATACCATGGTTTATCAACAGCTAGCTCACTAGAGCCTTGTCCTAGTTGCTTTAAATATCCTACTTTCATTTCCCAATTCTTTTGTTCATCAGCTTTCTCTTCAGATGCACCTTTGTTCTGAGTTTTATTTTGTAAGTTTGAAAACAAATCTATGTGCTCCAACTTGTGAGCAGCAGCTTCACCTTGATATTTAGAAGTTGCCCGTGTCCTTAGCAAAGCAAGACGAGACTCACTCTCTGCTTTAAGAATTCGTTCCTGTTCTTTCTCCCCTTCCAATCTAGCGTTTTCTTCATCTTTGAGTACCCGGGCCACATTTTCTTTAGTTCGTACATGCCACTTTTTCTTCGGCAAAATGTTCATTGGAACCTCCCGTTACTTGTATCAGTTACCTATTTAAGAACACATTAACATCATCTGAATTTATAATAGATACGTATATTAATCACTTTTTTAGTGTATTGAATTGAATCGAATTAGAAACGTTTTTGTACAATTTTGCAACACAAATGAATAGTCAATAATTTATACAAAATGATGATTTTTATGTGTTGCAATATGCTTCCAGTAAGAAGCATGTTCTTTTGGTATGCCAACTAATGCCAAAATTTATATCACATTCTAGTCTACAGGAAAAATAAATCAGGGCAAATAAGCTGCCCTGGAAGTTGGAACTAAGTTGTGAACAAAATTCAGGAGGGGGAACAAAATTACAACAAAGTTCTTTTTAAATCCCAGAAAAGTAGTTGCCTTTGAGGTGCACACGAGAGCGAATAGTGAAACTGGTATGCAAAAATTATCCTAAATTGCTTTGCAGAGATTTTCATTATCGTTACAATGCGAAAATTTCTTTTTGTCTGTGCGACCGCCCTCGTGCAAATTGGATAAAAAATAGGAAGTTGCTAAGCACAAAACTAATAACTTTGTTTTACTGATAACTTCGTTTAACTGGTAAGGACTTTGTTAAGGCCAGAGGGGGGGGGGGGTAAAAGTCGTTTTTCCAGTTTTCACATATTTGATCAGAGCTGCTGGAGACAAACAAGAAGAAACCTTACGTTTTTGAGATATTGCGCGCCAAATATTGAGGTTTACCTGTAATTACATGTAAAACTTTAACTTAAACTGCTAAAAGTTTTAAAAACCCTAACTTGAAAAGACTGGCCACAACCAGAAGCTGAAACACTAAAACATCTCAAATTGTACATCATTTTCCGTATTTAGTAGCATATCTATACAATTTTTGCTTTAAGGTGAGAAGATGTTTATTGAGATACTTTATGTTGGGAAAATCAATATCATAAACCAAAATTTTTCTAAAAATGAGGTTCACTATCATGAAACTCTGTAGTAGTAGTAAAAATATGATTGTTAACCTCGCTAGAGACCATATTACACTGGGATCGGTTTATCAATTAATACATTGTTATACATGTAATAAAACATTTGCCCAAACATCTTATTAAGTTTTTGAGGTTAACATGTGATTGGTTGGCCCGATATTTAATTCAACAAATGAGAGGTTAACCTCATTTTTAGCCATTTACGAGTGAACTCTTCTATTCAAATATGGTCAGTCCAAATCACCTTTGTCACATAATCATATTTGAGGCATTGGAATACAAATAGATAACAAAAGTAAGAATCGTATGTAAATAATTCTTTAAGTACCAAAAGTGATGGTTAACCTGTATTTTTACTGGAGTGAAATAACATTTTAATTTTAATTTTAGCAACCTCAATCTTGTTGACTTAATTTTGTAAAAATCAGTTAACCTCATTTACCAAAAATAGTTAAGCAGTAACAAATATGTTAATGGCAGCAACATTTTTGTCATCAAAAAATAATTTATTCGAAAAATAATATTTTTGTAAATTTTTTTGAGCATTTGCATTTAGGGGGCCGCGCACTCATGCGCGGCGGGTCATACGACGAATGACACACAGGGGGGCATAAACCAGTTTTTCGATAATTTGCTGCCATTTGCATGTAGTCAAACAGCGCCAAAAGCAATCAACCTTATAATATCGCTGCATTTTGCAAGTCATTATGCATAATTGAATTACATATATTCGTATGCGGCGCTTGGCTTGCATAATGCAGCAATTTCGCATTGGACTAGAGCAACTGCAAACTGTGTTAATTTCTTTTGGCAACGCTTGACTACAAATGGCAGCGTTTGATCAAAAACCTGGTTTTAGTATGATATTATTTGACGGATGTTACTCGTCTAAATTTCTTCAAAGTAGCGATATGGCGTGCGCAGCTTTTTTCTTGAAATATTATGGCCCGATGGCAAGTGCTACGAAGTAGCGCGCAACGGGCCAGACCATTAACAATGGTCAAGATATTATGTATAATTCTAATCAAAAACGTTAAATTAAATTTGACGCTCACAGGTCCTTGTATTGTAGGTTTTTAAACTAGCATGACGCGCGCCGAGTTTGACTCGCTGGAACAAATATTTTATAAGTATCACCAGTTTTGGAGGACTTTACCTTGGGACCTCAGGCTATTATGTTCATAAACATAGAGAATAGAGATTAGGCGGAATGACAGGCTGAGCGCGGCCCAGTAAGGAGGACTTCGCCGCTTTGACACGCCGCGCGAACTAGCATTTTTGCTTCGCATCGATCGTTGCTCTGCTTCGCAGAGCAACGATCTCGATGGGTTGACATCGTCAACCAACACCAGTTAAACAGGTCCTCGAGATCATGTGATCGCTACGAGAGTTTTTGTAAATGCGCGGCGCACCTTCAAGCTTAAATTCTTCACCTTATTACAGAGGCAGCCAACCAACGCGCGGCATTATTTTTATGATTTATCAGCTTCTTGGTGACCAAAGCAGGTTTGATGATAAGTGGCATAATGACAACTCTAACAGCTTTGGGTTGTCTTAAATAATTAATAAAAACGTGCAGTATTTATGTAAATAAATACTTAAATATTACAGTTTTGTACGAACCACGTCAGATTTAATATGCATTAAAGAATTCAGTAAGTTAGCTTTTAATGTACACTTTAGTTGGTAGTTCGAAAATGTAAACCAAACTCTTTTCATCAGCTGCGCGCCGAACCACACAGGGGGAGCTGAAACCAGGTTTTCGATCAAACATTGCCATTTGTAGTCAAACGTCGCCAACAGTTGCTCTCGTCCAATGAAATCGCTGCATTATGAAAGCCAAGCTTCGCATACGAATGTATGTAATTCAATTATGCATAATGGCAGGCAAAATGCAGCGATTTAATTGGACGAGAGCAATTGTTGGCGACGTTTGACTACAAATGGCAGCGTTTGATCGAAAACCTTGTTCCAGCCCCCCCCCCCCCCCCCCCCCCCCCCGTGACCAGTGTTTCTAAGTATCGTCTACTTTTGTACATTTTGTAAATTTTAAGTGTAAATTAATTTATTAATTGATCACTTGTACAAATATCAAAAATTATTTTACTATATTAAAACTGAAAACAATTTCATTTCTTTGAAACGATTAATTTGACTTTAAATATTCAAACTAAATGTGAATTGATGGTGGGTATACAACAAAATTTTGTTTTACTAAAATGTCATGTTGTTTTTATTGTAATATGTTTTTATTGTTATTAATAGATACCATGACCAACATTTAAAACTTGCTTTCCTAACTCAGCGTGCGGCTTTTGTAGCGTATACGTCGCTTTTTTTCTAATTGGTAGTTAGCGTGCACATGCTTTTTTTGAAGCCCGCGAATGTATTGATTATAAACGATTACGTGAATTGTGGCACACTAACTTCCAGTATTTTATACAAGTTGCACGTAGCAGGCCATGACCTCCTCTGGAAGTGCTTGTCTCTCCGTCGTTAACCCGACGGGGTTGCATTAGGGGCGGTGGTAACAGAGTTTCAAGACGCTCAGAGTCTGTTCACTGTTGTCGATATCTATGTGTAATATATTTATGCTATATAATTTGGGAGTCTCTCTCTCTCTCCAGCAGCAGGAGTTGTAGAAATGGGGACGCGTTGTGAAAGCTACCGTAAGGAAGGCTTACAGTCGAAGCTGACCAATCAGAAGAAGAACTTCCAATGAGCATCCACACTTTTTTTTAGTGCGATGGAGGTCGTAATTCACTTAACCCGATTAAAGATTCGGAGAAATGACAGTCTGAGCGTTACTTGGAGACCCAAGCTATTATGTTCATGAACATAGCCTGGCATATTTAAACCCTCTTAAACGCCCAAGCGGGCGAATTTTTGTGATTTAACAATCCACCAATAATCAGATTTTACAATCTAACTGAGTGTACAGCTCTTGTAGTGTATACGTCACTTTTTTCCAGTTGGTAGTTAGCGTGCACATGTTTTTTCCCGAGGTTGCAATTGATTATAAATGATCATATGAATGGTGATCATGCGCACACTAACTTTCAATGTGCATCCGCACTTTTTTTCAGTACGATGGAGGTCGCAATTCAGTGGCGTTGCCTGTTGGCAAAGTGCTAGTAATAACCAAGGATGGCCACCTTTTTAAATTCATAACATTCCTAGCTATAGCCTAGGTAGTACGAAAATCGAAAAAAAGTAAAATACAATTTTTAAGTAAAATACAATTTTTATTTTCCACAGAAGAATCAATACATATTGAATTATAAATATCCGATAATTCCATTAATAACCATTAAAAGTTGCTTTGTCATTTGTAAAATCAAAAACGAAAAGCCCCACGCTGAACGCGCGCGGCATTTTTTCTGCAGCTGCCTAGCTTCAAGCTTGTAGCCGCTAACATCAAAGCCGCCGCGCGCGCCCAGTGCTGGGGTGCATTCTCATTAACAATTAAACTTGGTCAAAGATATTTATATACAATTCCTAAATTAAATCAATAATCATGTTAATATGAGTATTCAACACTACTCGACAACAAATATTTGCCGGCCCATCAACGATTAAGTCGCCGAAACAAAAATCAAATGTTTGCTTTTTCGTTTCGGGGACTGTTTGAACTCAGTACTATATCCGACTAATCACACTTTATAATGGTTAAAATACAAAGTAAAAAGATTTTCCTCGATGGGCCGGCATTCGCAACCGCGAAACGTTTTGAGTACGACAAACGATGACACCACCACCGGCCGTTAATTGATAAGTCCATGGGTGACGGGATAAAGTTAAAGTAAGATGTGTAATTTCATATTGCCTATCACCTATCACCTAAGTTACTTTGCATATACTGCTTCTAGTTACACGATAGCGATCTCAGTTCCCAATAACGTGTGACCCAACAGAGGGGATTGTGGAAGGACACGTACATTTTTCATTAACACGTGCCCTGATTACCCCCTCCGTTGAGCTACTAAACGGGGAACGTTGACCGCCAGTCTGTAGTCAGATCGT